CCCCCCTCCGACCCTCCCGCAGCCCTCTTTAAAGTACCCTACCCTCGTGGTGCGATTTCGCACCTTCAACCCTCAACCCCCCTCCCACTCCTTCCCCCTGGCTCTCCCCCCTTCCCCCCCTCTCTCTGTCTCACACGAACAAACACATACACAAATCATGGAAAAGAAAGACAGAAGACGAAAAAAAATTGTGCCACATGGCGCGGCCATGTGGTGTGATTTTCAACCTTTAGTATCCCCCCTACATCCCCCCAGTTCCCTCCCACTACTTCCCCCTAGCTGTCCCCCCTTTCCCCCCCTCTCTCTCTCACACACGAACAAACACATACACAAAAACACACAAATAATGGAAAAGAAAGAAAGAAGACGAAAAAATTGTGTCACGAGGCGAGTCCATGTGGTGCGATTTTGCACCTTTAGTATCCCCCCTGCACCCCCCAAGTTCCCCCCTAACCCTCCACCATTCCCCCTCCACCTAACAACTGCTACACCCATCTTCCGTTTCCCTCATCCTAAATCTCCCACATCCTCTGCTCCCACCCCATTGCACTCCGACCCAGAATCCTTCACGTCGTCATCTCCCTCCCATTACCTTTTCCTCCTCTTCCGGAACCCAATACCATCATTTTGTCCCATCGTCATGTCACGTCTTCTGCCTTTCGCGATCAGAGTTGGTAAAGAAAGAAAAATGAAACCACCATAACCTGTTTCTGCCCCCTTCCCCGATTCCTCACGCCATTACAATCATGCTCCTTATCTTTCATCTTCATCATTGTCTGCATCGTCATTTTCATCCGTCCGCATCGTCATGGTGGTGCTCTCTCTCTCTCTCTCTCTCTCTCTCTCTCTCTCTCTCTCTCTCTCTCTCTCTCTCTCTCTCTCTCTCTCTCTCTCTCTCTCTCTCTCTCTCTTCCACACACGCGGGCACACTCTTCGTGTGGCTGTGTGAACTCCACAAAAAAAGCATGACTGTGCCAGACTGTTTCGTTGGACTTCCACCAACTCATCAATGGTTGAACCCCCACAGTCTGCCCACGATGCATTTGCCTGTGTGCGTGCGTGCATTTGTGTGTGTTCGTGCGCATGCTTGCGCGGGCGGGTGTCCATGTGAGTGCGTGTTGTCTCGTTCGCGCCTGTGTGAGTGCCTGTTGCCTTGCACGCTATTCAAGAAAGAAAACTATGCCCCGCATGGGACCGGTTTTCACCCAGGCTGGCAGCCCTACGATGGGCCCTCTTTTCAACAGGTGCAACGATCCAGGCCGCCCGCGATCCTACCGGGCGGATGGCTGGGATCCTCTTGTGATCTTAAGACTTTAAGATCGTGCGACGATCCAGGCCGTCTGGCAGGGCGGACGGCCTGGATCGTCGCACGATCTTTAAAGTCTTAAAGTCTTAAGATCGCGCTGAAATCCGGACCGGCAGGCCGGTAGGACCACGAGCGGCCCGGATCGCCCAATTCTCACGTTAGCGATTTCTGTAAGTGTAGGGATATCAATCCTCTATCCATTTTGAGTTCCATTTTGCATTCCACTTTGCATTCCGTTTTGCGTTCCATTTTGCGTTCCATTTTGCAATCCACTTTGTGTTCCATTTTGCGTTCCATTTTGCGTTCCATTTGCGTTCCATTTTGCATTCCATTTTGCATTTGATGTCAAGTCCCAAGTGGGATTTTGAGTTCCAAGTGGGATTTTGAGTCCCAAGTGGAATTTTGAGTCCCACGTGGGATTTTGAGTCCCAAGTGGGATTTCTGGGTTTCATCCGTCTGGAGTTTCCAAGGAAAAAAAGAAAAACGTTCCCAGAAAAGGGAAGAGAAGGGTCAGGAGAACTCACTTGTCCTGGAACTCGACAAAACCGAAACCTCGATGTTTCTGTGTCGACTGATCAAGCGGGATGTTTACGTCCTTGACGTCCCCRAACGGGATGAAAGCAGAATGCAGGATGGCTTCATTCACGTTCTCCTCCAACCCGCCTGCAAACACCCAGGCAAAAGTGCCACACCCAGGAATCAGGAAGCACAGCCAACACACGAAAGCCTTAAAACCCTAAACCCTTAATCCGCGATCCAACGACAACAGGCATATCAACACGACAGAGGATCCAGAGCGGTGGTAAACGAAGGGGGCATGCAGACAAGCACTTTTCATTCATTTCAATGACCAGACCACAAATCTCCACCTCAACATGGATCAAATACATCATTTGTTTTGTAGAGAGAGAGAGAGAGAGAGAGAGAGACGTGTGAGAGAGAGGTGTGTGTGTGTGTGAGAGAGAGGTGTGTGTGTGTGTGAGAGAGAGAGAGAGGGGTGTGTGTGTGTGTGTGTGAGAGAGAGAGAGAGAGAGAACAGAAATCAAAGCCGGCAAGCCAACGTTTTCTGACAAGAAAGGGGAATCTTTAAACCACGAGTTTTTACGTTTCCCAGACATTTTTTGGAAGCTGCGGCTTGCAGGCTGCTGCAACTTTCGGGGCTTGGCCTCCGGAGCAAAATGCCAGGCAAAAGGAGGCCGGGGCCGTTTTGTTTTGTTTTTGGTGTGCAGTGTGTTCCCAGGCCCGGAGAAAACACTGCTGGTCGACCGAACACGTTGAACCACCAGTGCCCACCAGTGGTTCAATACTACTACTACTACTCTTGGTCGCTCCTGCCGATGCCAGTCTGCATAACACTGCTGCAACCGGGTCATCACTTATCGGTAACTGTGACAATCGTTGAGGCTTTTCTTCCCTGCCTCTTCTTCTATCCTTCAAACATGCATGTCTGTTGGCCGACCGCCTTGGGCAGAAGGGACGAAGGCATGGGCAAGAAATTCAAGAATACAATCATCAAGAATTGCATTGTATGCCTCCACGAGCCGATCCCAGGAATCAAACATGCGACCTCCCACATGGGAGTCGGACGCTCAACCAAACGGTTAAGCTGACTGGGGTTAAAGAAAGTTAAGCCCCAAGATCAGTACTTAACCTCACCCGAGCACGGATTTCTCCGCATCAGGGTGTACCCAGTCACACCCACACCCGACCACACATTTTAATTATTAATATATTATTAATTTATTATTATTACTAAGAAAAAGGATCCATCATCTATGTGCATTGACCACCTACCTGGGTAGCCACCTGTCAGTTCCATTCTTCTTTCCATCATTTCATCAGGGGCGATGTCCCACGTGCCCGGTTTTTTAATTTCCAACTGTCGATTATGAAGATCAACGATCAGAAATGAACGATCAAGGCAAGTGGGACCACACCCCAAGTGGTGCATAGGTTCGGAGCAGGCGGGGGGGGGGGGTGACAATTTCAACAAAGCACTATCTGTCAGGATACTGAGCCCTCGACAGCCTGGGAGAGAAGGACAAGAAACAGGGAGGGAGGGGGAGGAGACCGTTTTGTGGGTTTGTCACCGAATAAGCAGTCGGGAGGCTGAACCTTTGACAGTCTCCATAGCCCCCTAACCCATGATACTGTTAAGACTTAGTGATAACCCACCTTAACCACGGTTGCGGCTAACCAATGATACCGTTAATGGCGTTAAGTGATAACCCACCCTAACCGCGGTTGCAGTTGAGCATCAAGACTGCCACGCAACTGATACCTCTCTAAGGAGGTGGCACCAACCTCTGCCCTCAAGGGTCGGTACCTGTGACGAAAATCAAAGCAGATTACCACTCACCCACATCAGACAGAAAACTCTGCAGACTGCAGGTTCACACCCCATCACATATTGTCACATATCTATGAACTAAAAGAGTGATATATATATAGTCAAACAGAGCTGCCCGTAAACCGTAGGCAGAGAGGGAGAAGAGGACAACAAACGAGGGGCTGTGACAAACTGTTTCGTCGGAGTTTCACCGACTCATCAGGAGGCTGTATATATACATATATCGTCAATAAATAAAATCTATTGCGTGTATGTGGGCGACCGTATATATATATATATATATATATATATATATCGTCAAACAGAGCCGGGGTGTGAACCCGCAGCGCGCGCTGTGGGGGAGTAGGGTGTTTAGCTTGGCGGGGGTGCCGGAGGGAGAAAAAGACAAAGGGGATTGATTGATTTGTAAGTCAGTCTGTAATACTGTATGTCTCTGTAGTGTTTTCTGAATGCGAACGGAAAGCTGGAAGAAGGATGAATCCTCTGAGCGAATCGACCTTTTGTTTTTCTTTTTTTTTCTTTTCTTTTGAAATTCTGCAACGTGCTCACACTTTGAACTATTTCGATATTTTAGTATTTTAGATTATCTTTTCACTGTCACATTCCCTCTGAAAGTCATACCGTACGTATGACCCCTTCGCCACCCGCCAGAACGCACGATCGTTCTAGCTGTCTTTGGGGAAATTTTCAGTCTAGATACAGCTATAACGACCGTACATTCTATTCGGGGAAAGAAAATAGCCTAGCCTTGCTTTGCCTTGTAAGTCAGTCTGTTCCAATCCCTCTACCCAAGCTCACTATCTTCTTCTTCCCCCTCGCCNTTTTTTTGTTCTTTCCGTGAGAGTACCAGAAAGAAAACGGAGTGGTACCCAGGCTCGGCAAAACTCGGAGCGCAGTGAAATTCAGGGTCGGCAAAAACAGGCTCGGAGGTACTGGTGGTTTAAGCCACGAGTTTTTACATTTCCCAGACATTTTTTGGAAGCTGCGGCTTGCAGGCTGCTGCAACTTTTGGAGCTTGGCCTCCGGAGCAAAATGCCAGGCAAAAGGAGGCCGGGGCCGTTTTGTTTTGTTTTTGGTGTGCAGTTTGTTTCCAGGCCCGGAGAAAACACTGCTGGTCGACCGAACACGTTGAACCGCCAGTGCCCACCGGTGGTTCAATATACTACTACTACTCCTCTTGGTCGCTCCTGCCGATGCCAGTCTGCATGACACTGCTGCAACCGGGTCATCACTTATCGGTCACTGTGACAATCGTTGAGGCTTTTCTTCCCTGCCTCTTCTTCTATCCTTCAAAAAAAGGATCCATGCATGTCTGTTGGCCGACCGCCTTGGGCAGAAGGGACGAAGGCATGGGCAAGAAATTCAAGAATACAATTATCAAGAATTGCATTGTATGCCTCCACGAGCCGATCCCAGGAATCAAACATGCGACCTCCCACATGGGAGTCGGCCGCTCAACCAAACGGTTAAGCTGACTGGGGTTAAAGAAAGTTAAGCCCCAAGATCAGTACTTAACCCCACCCGAGCACGGATTTCTCCGCATCAGGGTGTACCCAGTCACACTCACACCCGACCACACATTTTAATTATTAATATATTATTAATTTATTATTATTACTAAGATAAGGATCCGTCATCCATGTGCATTGACCACCTACCTGAGTAGCCACCTGTCAGTTCCATTTTTCTTTCCATCATTTCATCAGGGGCGACTTCCCATGTGCCCGGTTTTTTAATTTCCAACTGTCGATTATGAAGATCAACGATCAGAAATGAACGATCCAGGCAAGTGGGACCACACCCCAGGTTGTGCATAGGTTCGGAGCAGGCGGGGGGGGGGGGGTGACAATTTCAACAGAGCACTATCTGTCAGGATACTGAGCCCTCAACAGCCTGGGAGAGAAGGACAAGAAACAGGGAGGGAGGGGGAGGAGACCGTTTTGTGGGATTGTCACCGAATAAGCAGTCGGGAGGCTGAACCTTTGACAGTCTCCATAGCCCCCTAACCCATGATACTGTTAAGACTTAGTGATAACCCACCTTAACCACGGTTGTGGCTAACCGATGATACCGTTAATGGCGTTAAGTGATAACCCACCCTAACCGCGGTTGCAGTTGAGCATCAAGACTGCAACTGATACCTCTCTAAGGAGGTGGCACCAACCTCTGCCCTCAAGGGTCGGTACCTGTGACGAAAATCAAAGCAGATTACCACTCACCCACATCAGACAGAAAACTCTGCAGACTGCAGGTTCAAACCCCATCACATATTGTCACATATCTATGAACTAAAAGAGTGATATATATATAGTCAAACAGTGCTGCCCGTAAACCGTAGGCGGAGAGGGAGAAGAGGACAACAAACGAGGGGCTGTGACAAACTGTTTCGTCGGAGGTGAAGGACAACAAACGAGGGGCTGTGACAAACTGTTTCGTCGGAGTTTCACCGACTCATCAGGAGGCTGTATATATACATATATCGTCAATAAATATATATATCGTCAATAAATATATATATCATCAAGAAATATATATCGTCAAACAGAGCCAGGGTGTGAACCCGCAGCGCACGCTGTGGGGGAGTAGTGTTATGAACTTGGTTGTCCGACGATTTTTACCGCCACTCACACACAGACAATCTTATGCATGTATGGGCGTGTATGAGATTGTCTGTGTGTGAGTGGCGGTAAAAATCATCGGACAACCAAGTTCATAAGGGAGTGCAGCGCTACAGGATCCTGAGGAGGATCAACAAGTTTGAAGCAGTTCTGTGCGTGGGATTGTCAGGAGGAATATCTGGGAGAAATTGGCGAGATAGGGGCAGTTCATTTCTCGCGAAGCAGCGTTGGAGAAGCCAAGCAAGTTCGTGGTGGAGTTGGTCTGCAGGCGGCACCCTGAGACCTCGCCGTTGACAGCAGCCATAGCCGGCCCAGTCTGAGTCTGCCATAGCTGGGGCATCCTCAGCGCATCTACCCCTGGGGGTATCTGCGTCTGGCCGGGCTACATCGAGGCTCTACACTGTGTACTCGTGGGTGGTGGCAGCCATAGCTGCCTGTTCCTTCGTCGGAGTTGTCCATCGGCACTGAAGACTTCATCGCAGGACMTGTTCTTCATCAGGGTGGTTGGCGCTGGCCTCTGGGAGGCCATTCTGATGTGGCGCTACTAACTGGGTGTAGGATAGAGAGTGGGGTGTGAGTTCTGAGAGTGGCGAGATACTGGAACAAACTMTGTTACGATAATTGTTTGAGTTGGCTCATCATCAGTGTAATTTCAATTGTTATCCTCGCCGGTTCTACTTGTGATTGGTTGTTGG